AACTACTGGATGGATTACATGGACTTTACACACGGTGATGATTTTTCCAAATGATGTGATCCTCTAACTTTCCCTTGAGTGCCACCAGCAGGTTGAGATCTTTGGTTCTGAGTGAAATGTCTTGAGGTATTTTAGATGGATTGCTCTGAAATGTATACTGAGGATTTGTGTTGAATAATTTCTACATCCTGGATAATTGTATTAACCTTTTTGGATTTATGACATTCACTAATGACATTGCCAGTAGCCTGAGCTGCACTTTGTGTTTAGTCTTAATTATCAAAATAGTTAGCATGCTAAATTGTGAGTATAAACAGTCAATGTTACCTGGTAATCTGCATGTTAGCATTGCAGAGCATATTGCACACCTTGCCTAAGCATACCCTCAAAGTAAAACTGTAGATTCTCAGTACAATGTTGAGCAGCATGAACACCAGGTGCATTCTCCCATATGTTATTTGCAGGGGTGGAGCCCAGAACCTGAGGAGTATGACAACCTACCACAGCAGAGCCCTGAGGGACACACTAGCAACCCACAAGGCCCATATCTACAGATAGATCTGCTGAAACCATACAACATTACTGGTAAACATTCATGCAAGCCCTTTTGAACAACTACAGACTGAAATACTGCTTTGTATGTTGTGTAAAAATGAATTCCGTTAAATTGTGTACTGTATATCAGCAAAATAATTTAATACATTAAATCTCTCTACCCTTGTGTAGGTGTGTTAACCCAGGGTGGTGGTGTGTTTAGCACATTTGTGTCTAGTTTTTACATCCAGTTCAGCCACGACAGCAGGCAGTGGTACACTTACAAAGAACTTGTCACAGATGCCCGGCCCAGAGCCAAGGTCAGACTTTTAACCAAGTCCAAGTAACTTTCCATCATATAGTATTCTCTGCAGACCACTTATCTTCAACTTGATGTGTAACCTTTCTCCCTCCAGGTTTTTCTTGGTAACCATGATGATCGAGGGGTGGCTGAAAACAGACTGGACAGGATGGTGATGGCTCGGTTTGTTCGCCTGCTGCCACATGACTTTCAGAATGGCATCTACCTTCGACTTGAGATTATGGGCTGTGCCGATAGTTAGTAGTTTTAATGCTAGCTTGTTGGTGTTTTGTCTGTGAATTGTTCTCAAATGTAAACTGCTCTCCTCTCATCTCCTTCAGGCTATCACTGGCTGACTACCTCCATCCCCCCCTCACCAGTCTCTCCAGTGGGTGGTTGCAGAGTAAAGGAGTTCCAGTGCAAAAACGGTCGCTGTGTACCAGCCGGTCCACTGGGAGTACTCTGTGACGGAGTCAATGATTGTGGGGATGGTTCAGATGAGATGCACTGTGGTGAGCCTCCCAGCCTAACATAACTTTTATTGATCTATTGTATGAAATGCATGCTTACACTAACTTATTAATGTTTTTCAATTTATCAGTGGAGCAAGTTTGTAAAGTTGCATTATTTCCTTCTTTTATTCTTATTTGATTTAACAAAGTGTATTTGCATACACTCCAGTCACATTTTCTACTCATGGGCATTGACAGTTACATAAACCAAAAATGAATATAGAAATCATTTTTATCATTTTGCATAACTACATCCCACATGTAGGTATGCAGCCGTCCACTACAGCTGTAAGTCCACGCAGCTGCCCTGCTGGTCAGTTCTCCTGTTCCCCACCAGGGGGCTGCATCATGGCAGCACAGCGTTGTGATGGGATTCCCCACTGCCCCAGAGGAGAAGATGAAGCTGGTTGCCACCCCAGTGACAACATTACTACCAAGTCAGACAGGTGGGGGATTGGTTTTGCTTCTAGTAGTCTTAATGTTAATTGTAACAGTGTAGAAGTAACTTGAAACTATTTGAAACATTATGTGCTTGCTCATCTTTTTTTTCTTGTCTGTATTTATTCAGCAATTTTTTACTCTGTTGTGCTGTAAAGTTGTCAAATACGACTTCATGTGTTGGATTTACTGTTCTTCTTTGTTGTGTGATAATTCACAGACCATATACTCCCACCCCAAGTCCTCTCAGGACTCCACATGTGTCTGCTGTCACTCATCCTGCAAAAACATCAGCAGTAAGGAAACATTTAAATGAAACAACACATCCTTCAAAATCTGTATTTTGGTGTCACTGGTGTTTATGCTATATAAATACCCCTTTTTTTCATTTTAATGTCACTTACAATTAACAAAGATTTACCTGTTAAGATACATACAGTATGAGCCAACCAGGGTTAATTACAATATGGATACCTGCAAATAAAGAACAGCTTTATACAACGTAGAAAAAAAGCATAATTTTAGAGAAAGATTTGTATGGTTGCTGAAAAAGCGTGTGATCTTATATGCCCTTATTTGTTTAAAGGCTAAAAAATGTTTCACTTTGCAGTGAAGATTGTAAAATCATTAGAATTAGTATATTAAGTTCAGCTGCAGTAAAATCTACTGTGTACTAATTATTTAATGCCTGAGTAATAATTCTATAGATAGCTATGATGTATGTAAATTAGATTCACTTTTATAGATCTCATATGTTAGATTTCTTTTTTTTTAAACTACAGGTGTTAATATAGCTACATGTCAATGTATGCGTAACTTGTATTATGTTGTATCTACAGGATGGTCGCCCAGGATATCAGGGTGAGTGTTACTGTACATGCAATTTAAATGGATTTATTTTTTGTGGAGTTTTTTGTGTTGTGAGAACCTCAGTATCTTTTAATTTCTTCAAATCCTTAAATGGGCTGTCTTCAGTATTCAGCCAGCTAGATGGTATTAAAATTCATCATATTCTTCAGGCATCTGCTCTTCTCCCCTCGGACTGGAGGATGGGAGAATTCATTATGGTCAGCTGACTTCATCCTCACATCGGGACAACAACCCCGCTGATGCCGGACGACTAAACATCATCCCTAACATGTGAATGATTTGAGATTTGAATGGCTGTTGCTCCTGAAGCATATGCAGTAATAGGCTGAACATGTTTGTGTTTTTTTGCATGAATTTCAAAGCAATGTAAAATAAATACTGTTAGCATTTTTTCAAGCCGAATATAAGGCAGACAGAAAAATGAGAAACCATATCTTCTGTGCAGTCAGACCATGGAGCCTGGATGGAGTCCTTTGCCTACAGATGCCCAGCCATATTTTCAGGTGGACTTCCTGGAGCCCACATGGATCTCAGGGGTGGTGATGCAGGGCAGTGAACGTATGTGGGATTACCTCACTAAATACCGCCTGGCCTTTGCACTGCACAGCAGCCTCTTCACAGATTACACTGAGAATGGAAAGCCTGATGGCCCTATTAAGGTATTTGTAGTAAATCAGGATCAGGTGATTCTGTATTTGCATACATCTTCATACAGTGAAAGGTTTTATGGACACATTCAGACATGGTAGAAAAAAAACAAAAAAAATTGTATTATTCTTGGAAGAAAAGCCTCACTACATGTGTAAGTGTCTTCTTGGTTGTGATGTAGATGTTTCAGGTGCGAATGGTGGGCAGGGCCCCTGTGACCCGCTGGCTTGATCGGCTGGTCAGAGCTCGCTACCTGCGCATCTTTCCTGTGGAATTCAGGCACACTTTCTACCTGCGTGTGGAGATTCTTGGCTGCAGAGGAGGTCAAGAATTCAACCAAATACACAACAAAATGATAATAAATAAAATTCTCAGGAATCATAAATCTCTAACTAATCTGTAAACCTCAGCTTCACATCTTGAATCACCTTTTCCTCCTGCTCTTGTAGATGAGCTGGTGACACCCAGCAGTTTTATTACATCTCCCTCTGGTGTTGGGAAAGTGACAGTGCAGCGCTGTAATCCAGGCCAGTTTGCATGCCAGCACAGCGAAGAGTGTGTGTCTGTCTCCGTGCTTTGTGACGGTCGACCGGACTGTAAAGACGACTCTGACGAGATCAACTGTGGTTAGAGCTGATGGATATTATTTAAAACATTTCATTCTTGTTTTTTTGAGACATGCCAGACAACTCATGCCAATTTCTAGTCTCCTTGTGGAACCAAGCAATTGAAACCATTTAGATCAGAGAGACGATTTGATAGATTATTAGTTAAAACAGACAGTGCCTTTCCTCCTCCAGAGTGTTCACATTTCTTGCTTTTTTTGTCTTTGTCTCTTTCTGCTCATTTTTGTTTTTAGGTACAGTGTCAACAACAGGCTTTCCAGGGCTGCAGAACCAGACTAGCTCTATAGGAAGACCAGGTTTACATGGTGACAGAACAACAGGTGCCCCAGGCGTCCATACCACCAAGTCCCAAGGTGGCCTTCCTGGTGTGGCTACATCAGAGGTCACAGGTCAACCTGGCCTTCAGAAGACTACAGTCCCAAGTACTGGTAACTATAATCGGCTGATAATCACATTTTCACTCAGTGTAACAAGTTGATAACTTTAAACGTCTCAGTTTTATTCAAACACTTTATTCAGTTTTAAGATGTGTCTATTTGCAATGTACACCTGATCAGTTTTTTTTTTGTTTTTTTTGTCCTAAATGATCAGGCAATTGGACAAGCAAACCTTCCATCTACCCAGGGGCCACCACAGGTCAACCTGGACTGCACCTTGCTACAACTCTTCACTCTGGAAGGCCTGGTCTACAAACAACAAAAAGTCTGGGAGCCTTGCTTTTTATCATACAACCAGACAGGACCTGTGGATCAACACCCTCCACTGTATAGAATAGATGTTTATTGTTCTCTCTGTTTTCTATTTGTTTACAGCCCCGTCAATCACCACAACCCCCGCTGATGGTGGCCTACCCAGAGTGCTTTGTGTGGAGGGCCAGTTTGAATGTCGGTCATTTGGCTGTGTGGACTCTGCGCAGGTGTGTGATGGCAGACAGGACTGTTTGGACGGGTCAGATGAAGAACGCTGTGGTACGCATCAACACCCTGGTGAATGGAAGTACAGAGGAATGCACTTAGCAGTACTTAAATTTTACTAACACTGAAAATGCAGAGAAATCACAGTGGTGAAGATTTACACTACTGTGCAAACATTTTAGATACTAAAAGTAAAGGATGCTTTCAGAAATAACACCATGTTAATGCAAGTCCACATGAAGCACATCAACCACAAAAAAATCATATCAACATTTAGTGTTAACATCCTTTACCTTTGAAACAGCACTAGTTCTCTGATAGAGTTTTTGAAGGTTCTCGGACGGTAGCTGTCCAGGCATCTGGAACTTGCCTCAGCTATTCTGTGGATTTAGGCTGTCTCTGTGTTTTGTCTCATCATGTGATCCCAGATGGACTCCATGGTGTTAAAAGTGAAGTTATAAATTGATTATTTAAAATGTCATGCAGTATATAAGTTGAATGAAGTTCTGTTATTTTATTACTATGTCTCATCAGGTGCCACAGCCAGACCACTGGTGACTTCCCAGCACCCTGTAGTGCCCAGCCCATGCTCTCCCAAGCAATTCCGCTGTAACAGTGGGGAGTGTGTTCACCTGGACCGCAGGTGTGACCTGCAGAAGGACTGTGTGGATGGGTCAGATGAGAAAGGCTGTGGTAGGTTATAATTCTACCTCCAAATTGGTGATGAGACCAATCAGGCAAATACTAATATTCTTTATGTACTTTTTCTTCTCCTCCAGTGGACTGCATCATGTCCCCATGGACAGCTTGGAGTGCATGCAGTGTGTCCTGTGGTCTGGGTTCCTTGTTTAGACAAAGAGACATATTGAGGGAGGCTATACCTGGAGGGGCCTGTGGTGGAGCCCAGTTTGACAGTCGAGCCTGCTTCCCTCAATCATGTCCGGGTCTGTTCTTTGAAGCTGATTTCAGATAGGATGAATCAATCACAAATACCTGATATCTGGTTTAATGGCTACCTCATTTTCATTGTCTCCTGTGTCCTCTTGTAGTTCATGGTCAGTGGTCAGAGTGGACAGAGTGGTCAGAGTGCGACGCTCAGTGTGGAGGTGGAGTCAGACAGAGGAACAGAACTTGCTCTGCTCCCCCTCCTAAAAATGGTGGGTGGGACTGCGAGGGCATGACCCTGCAAAGCCAGGGTTGTAACAGTCAACCCTGCACCAATGACACTGGCACACAGACAGGTGACTGCCAAACAGCAAGTTTTGTTGATTGTGTTTAAAGCCTGTGGGTATTTGTTTTTAGCCCAAGGGGCAGCAGATCAATAACTAATCGCCTTGTTCATTTAATTGCTACAAAATTAAGTCTGTAAACTGTCTCTGTTCTGTGTTAACATACAGTACTAACAAACTGAGTGGTTGTTCAGGTTGTCTCAATGGCATGGTGCTAGTAACTGAGCAAGACTGCCAGGCTGAGGGAGTCCAGTCTTGTCCTTCTACCTGCTCACATCTTAGCTTGACCAACAATTGCACTGCAGCATGTGTACCAGGTAGGACACACACGGTAATTGAAGTGTCATATTATAATGTTTGTGCAGTTGAATTCACAACATTATTTTGAATCTGAATGGGAACTAGCATGGGAAAAGTACAAAGGTTGGGCCCCATCACAATTCATTATTGCATATACAGGAATCAAGTGCATAATAATGCTTCTTTTAGAAGTTTATATAGCTTCGCATTTGCTCAAGAGATATTATTGATTGGTATTGTGATAACTGCCAGGATAATCAAGCCATATTTTAGAAATGTTCAGGGTTTTTTGTCAGTGTTCCCTAAATAAAAATAATCTCTTGTTGTTCTGTTTATTAAGCAAAGTAAAGATGAGGATGAATAATGCATGAGAAACTAGGCCAGTGAGACTAAATAAAATTTTCTATGGTTTATTGTGTTATTTGATTTCTGAATGTGATTCATACACTCTAAGCCTCACTTGAATCAATGTCTGTCATTATGTTGATAGAAGGAAAGTTGCTTAAATTTAATGGTCCCTAAAACACTAATTAAAATGTCAATTATGTATTTCTACAGGGTGTCATTGTCCCGATGGTTTGCACCTTCAGGAGGGACAGTGTGTAAATGCAAGCCAATGTGTCTGTCACTGGGACGGCCAAACTCTGCAGCCAGGACAAACAGTCACCAGTGCACCACATGGTGAGAGACACCAACATGTCAGGGCCTGTGTTTTTATAACTGATGGCATTGCTAAAATGTTTTCTTAAACTTATGATAAATTATGGGTTTATTTCTCTTGGAGGGAGTCTTATTTTTCATATTTAGTTTTTAAAGTTCACTTAAAGTCTTCTCAGCAATGTGTTGGATACTGGCTACTGCCTCAGCTTTTGCTCTTAATAACTAACTGTAA